CAAAGTCTATTTGTAATAATTTATTTGTTATGAAATTATTTATTTCATTATCATAATAACAAAAGAATGTATTTGTAAAAACACTACATCAAAATATTTAAAAAATGAAACTAATTTAATTTTGGTTAGGACCATGAAACTACTTTTATTAATGAAATAATAGTATTCAGGTCATGAAATATTTCACTGATTGAACCATATTTGGTTTCGTTAATAAAACCAATTTCATTTTGACTATTATGAAACCGATTCCATTTTGGTTAGGAAACATGAAACAAATTTAAAAATGAATGAAATACTATTATTTAGTTCTTGAAGTGTTTCATTGACTGAACAATATTTAGTTTCATATGTAAAATTGAGTTCATCTTGGTTAGAAACCATGAAACCGATTCCATTTTGGTTAAGAAACATTTCAACAAATTTCACTGCTGAAACAATGTCATTCAGTTTTTGGAATTGTATAGTTAATGAAACCAATTTCAATGATGAAACGAATTTCATTAATGAAAACATGTTATTCAGATTTTTAGAAAATGTTTCATTGACTGAACCATATCTGGATATTTTGTCAACTGCACCTTCCATCATAAAATAAGTGTACACAAAAGATATGACACATGATTATAGATATAAATAGTAATTACACCTTTTTTTGTTAATCAATTGATAAATTTACCTTTAATAAACGTATCAGTCTAATCAAACTCTTAAATATTTATGTATTTATCCACAAGTATACTTGAAAATTTAGTTATATATTTTTGAAAGGTGATACTTATTTTGAAACAAATATAAATAAAATATGGACATTTATTTTTAGATAAGAGAAATATTATTTTGTTACATGAGATTTAATGCTCCAACCCTAAAACAACTAACTAATCTAATAAATTTTAAAATCAACATGGAAATTACTAAAACCATCAACCATAACTTGGGCACATATTTCCATTTCCTATTTATTATGGAATTAATCCCCACACATGCAGTTTAAATAAGCTCACTAATTAACCAACAAATCTCACACCTATGTCAAATAAGAAAACGTGTACATCCAAGTCTTGTTTGGTATCTAATTACAAGAGCAAACAGAAATTCAAAAATATTATTTACAGAATATATATTAAGGGCATTAATTAGTTTAACTACTCGTGATTTAAAATACCTTTGGTTCAACTAATGGATGGTCTTCGATCTACGTGGTATTTGAGCTGTATATAATTTTACTATTATTTCTATCAACATCAGAATTTCTTTTCAATATCTTTATTTGACCAAAAGAGAACGGCACCCATGCATGTTTCTTTCCTATTTAATAAATTTTTTTAATTAGTGGGGTCTTATGAAAAGGAAATAAAGAAACAGATGAATTAATGTCCTTACATATCGAATCTGTACTTTCAATAATGACATACGGTTAAGTCTGATTTGCTGTTTCTGAAGTCAATATCTTGAATTTTTCGTGGAGTCACTGTCCTGAGCTATTTTAAAAAAATCAGTTTGAATAATTCTTAGTTTAAATCTTTCGGTCGATGTTGGTGTAATCTGTTGAAATCTTTTAAAATTTTCTTTATACTTATATGGTATGCACAAGCAAAGTTTTGTCAAATTTTTGTGTTGAAATTGGGTTTTAATGGTTTTATAGTTCTCATATGAAATTTTCCAAGAACAAATAACAAAAACTAGAATAAGACCGAAAACTAGTTCTACATGTGAAACTATGTATTTGAAATATACAGTGTTGTTTCATATATACAACTAGGGTTGTTCATGGGTTAGGTTAGCTGGGGGGTTAAAGATATTTGAATAATTTAATCCAATGATTATGATTTAAAAAATCTCAACGCAACTCAACTTAAGCAAAAATACAACTCATACGAACCCAAACCGTGCGAGTCAGGTTGATCAAGTTGAAACTTTTGCATCATTTTACAATATAGCCAACCGTTTTGTTTAAATGAAGTAAATTCAAAATGAGAACATACAAAAAAGATAACAAATTAAAAAAAGTTGCAAGTTTATGCAAATAAGAAAGTAAACTTATGATTGAGATTGTAATACAATTTTAAATATAGCTAATTACGGGTTGGTCTAATGTCCAATGTACACATATTAATCAAAGACTTAACAATCATATTAAATTTGTAGTATATAAAGGCGCCAGGTTCATCGAATTGAGTTGAGTTCAAATTACCCTAACCCAATTTCAACCCAATAGATGCAGTTCGACATAATTTCAACTACGTGTCGGGTTACCTTAGGTTGATTTTTTTGGGTTTTTCTCGATTTGGGTTGGTCGGGTTGGTTATTTTTCAAGTACCCCTATATACAACAGTTAATCAGTTATAATATGAAGATGAAACAAACATACACATATATACAGAGACAAAGGGAGAGGAGGATTGAGATGGAAACACAAAAAAACATATATAAAGTATAATAATATGGATATGAAATTAAAGAGAATAAAATTCTTGTTTTTATATAATTTGTTTAAGTTCATTTTGTGTAAAAGTATAACAATATAGTTTACGAGATAAAGTTTTAACCACATTTTTAGTTAGATCTATTGGATCAAATCAATCCAACGATTGAGATATATTTCTATGTTTCCAACCTTTTTGTAGTTTCTATTTGGATCTCCCTAAATACATAGGGTGGTTCAAATGAAAACAATCTGTAGGATGAAAATGTGAAAACGATCTCAATCATGGAAGAAGAGCCCCTAGGCAGTGGTTTGTCTAGTTGCACGATTAGATGGAGAGATGTGGGAAAACGCTCTAACAATAAATTATATGCTTAAGTGACTGCATCAGTAGCAGTGGTAGTGGATCAAAACCATCATCAACTAATGACAATCACATTAATTAGCGTAAGCTGATAACCATCAATGGCAACAGATGCCATCAATGGGTACGCCCACTGAGGTCGATAGATTTTCAAAGTGCATGATTTCACTAGTCCGAAATAAATCGATAAATGCTCATATTTCTAGTAAATCATTTCTCTTAATGGGACATTTATTCTCGGTTTAATCAATCTTTTAACTGTTGCTATTTCTCTAGGTTTATAACCTACGAATTCTACCAAAATTGTAAGTTTGAATTGAGATTACACTCAAGCAAATTTCATTCAATCAAGACAGATTAAGATTGAAATATTGTTTAAAGAAAAATGAACTCTTACAAGATTTGAAATTCTTATTCAAATTATTTACTGTAATTTCTGACCATACTAGAATTTGATCCCCAACAATATCTTGGTAAAAAATAAACGGAAGGCTCTAACCCTACTAAAATACAAAATTACGACTTTTATATGTACAATCATAATTCAAAAATGTTTGATTTTGTCAAATGAATTAGCTTGGTAAAATAAGATTTAAAAACATAAGTTTTGGATTTTCTAAGAAGACAACTAAGCTAAAGAATCTTATAAATAAGATATTTTATTTAATTATTTACTACACATTTAAATTTTTAATAGTTATTTTACTTTATAAATAATATTTTTTAATATTCATGTTAGAACATCACCAATGGCAAAAATAAGACTTGTAACTATTTGCCAAAGTTATTATATGGGTTGATGAAAAGCTTCTTCATCAAAAGGTTTTAATCCATCAAGTCAACGACAAAGTCTTTTGATTTTCTTATCACTGCTTTTTACAATCATACTTCCATTTTGTCTTAATATATAGAAGATGATAATGATAATATATTATATATTATATGATATATTAGGTTATATAGAGAGAGAAATGTGAGTTCATTTAACAACCTAATATTAAACCACGTTAAAGAAATTTGTAATTTATTTAAAAACTTTATCGAGTATTCAATAAATCTGATGCGGATGATGTTGGTCGCAACCGAGTAGTGATTACCAACCAAGGTTTTCTTTCTGACTTTTTCAAACCACAATTCCATGAGGCTCTATTTGTTTAAACCAATTGAGTTTATAATATTAAAATCATTCAACACAAAGATACAAAAGTCATTGCTATGTTGCTTTTATGAGCACAAGTTATGCATCCATCCTCTCGATCTCTTCTTTTTCAACTCCTTTGATCATCTTTCTTTAGTTTGTACTAGCTAGTTCACAGTTCTCACGGTGAGTGATGGCTGTCTTGGTTCTATTGCTTGTATTACTCATGGTCAACCCCGGAATATCACAGTCGAACAACTCAGAAAATGATGTCAACACACCCATTAGATCATTTTGTGGTCGTAACCGCCCAATAGTTCCATCAAATTTTATCAACAATCGCAATTCTACCTTTACTGCAATTAGAAGACAATTATCAAACAACAATGTATTTTATGCTAGAGCACAAAGTTTACTTGAAGGAGACTCGGTCTTTGGGGTCACCCAGTGCAGGAACTACCTCTCTACCTCTCAGTGTATGGCTTGTTTTGATGCTGGCGTGTCTCGACTGCTCAGCTGCATAACGGGCAATGGTGCTTATGTTTTCTTTGATAATTGCTTTGTCAGGTAATATTTTCTTGGGTTGACCATTTCATATATAGTTGATTAATATCTCTTAGGTATAAGATATTGTTAATTGAAGCAGCAAATGTCTTAGACACTATATACTTGCAAGCAATGATCATCAGAAGTCCATTAAAAGTTAATGACAAATGTTCAAGTAATCAATATTAAAGTTTGATGACTGAATGAAACTCTCACCGTTAAATCTAAAGAAAATTTCCTTTTTCTTTTGGTATGGACTAGAATTTTTCCATCAAAGAGATAAACTGAGTGCACGTTCAATTCTTCTGTTCCATATTGCTTATCATTTATCCGTAATGAGTATATTTATTTTATTTCATATTAATTTATGCATAATAAAAATTAAGTTATCTTTTTCTTATGCTTTACTTTACATATGTTGCTTTTTTCCTTCATAATTGAAGTAATAATTACATTGGAATTAATCTTCTAAAATTACATTTCATCAAATCAAAACAAAAAACACAAAAGATCTTGTTGGTTGTGCGACAAGAGGTGGAAAACAATTTGTAGGCTTTGGTTGAACATGTTGTGTTACATTGTGGTAAAAAAGATTGTGGTTTCATGTGCTACTCACACCACTAAACCCATGGTGAGAATTCTTTGGTAGCAAACCATACAAGACAACCTCCAAACCACTAAACGTTAACCCATGGTGAGAATTTTTTGGTAGCCTATAACCAAGAACTCATAAGTCATAAGGGGCTGCAAATTCCAATAGTTACTATGCGGGACAAGGTGTTACAATACCAACAGTGTATTAGGTAACACAAGATGTTGTGTTACGTTGGGGTAAAAAAAGATTGTGGTTTCATGTGCTACACAAAAGATTGTGGTTTCATGTGATAATTTAGGAATGTAAAATCAAAATTAATTGAATGTTTGAAACATATGGAGTTAATAAATAAATATTTAATCTAAATTTAGTAATTTACTAACTTGCCCTTTTACATTAATTTTAAAAATAATTAATATATTAAAATGATTGGTTGAGATTGGATCTCACGGTTACGACAAACAAAACAGTTCTCATTTGATTAAGCCCTTATATATATATATATATATATATATATATATATATATATATATATACATACATATGCATATATAGAGGAGCGATCAAATGCAAACCACTCATATTTGTACAAACTGTGTAAATCACCCTCATCCGTCGATTTCATTGTTTAATCTTATTAAATTTTTTCATGAAATTGTTTAATTTTATGAAAATTTTTCATATAAAACTTTTTTTTGATGAAGTTGTTTCATATATGGTTATGAAATTTTAATGAAACTGTTTCATGTATTTCTCTAATGTTAATATAATAAAGATGATAATATCCATGATTAACACCCTCCACAATAAAAATGATTAATAAACCTCTCATAATTACAAAAAAAAAATGAACAAAATAAAAAATTATGATTGGTTGAATGAGATTTGTACAGTTTGTACAAATAACGTGGTTTGCAAAGTAAACCTCCTCTACATATACATCCAGATATACATATACATATACATATATAGGGTCGGGTTCACGTGAGACCAACATGTTTTCCTGAGACATGTGTAACCACATTTTTACACTTGAAAAACTTCCAAGCAAAACGTTGTGCAGGTAAAAGAAAAGGTGAACCTTCACAGCAAAAACACTGTAAATGTTACCTTCACAACGTTTTACTGTGAAGTTTCAAAAGTAAAAAAGTGGTCTCACGGGTTTTATCAAAACAGGTTGGTCTCACATGATCCTAAGTCTACATATATATATATATATATATATATACACACACACACACTCACACATATATATAGACGTTTAGGGGAAAACCTTCAAAAAAATAAAAAACTGAAGAACACTCTAGTAACCATTAATCTGGACGGTATACACATGTGCATACAAGTAATTGAAATAATTTCTTGGTTTTTATGCACGTGTATGTTATAAACATGTGCATACCCAAAAAAGTGTGTGTATGCATATGTGTAAGCCGTCCAGATGAACGGTTACCGAGTATTCTTCAGTTTTTACTTTTTTACGATTTTTACATGAACGTGACCCTATATATATATAGGGTCACGTTCAGGGAAAAATCTCAAAAAAATAAAAATATGAGGAACACCCTAATAACCGTTCATCTCGAACGTAAAAGTAATTTCTAAGCAATTTGTCTTGTATGCACAAGTGCATGCACATGTGCATAAAACCAAAAAACAATTTCAATTAAATGCACATATGCATAAGGTCCAGATAAATCGCTTACCGGGTGTTCTTCAGTTTTCAGGTCCAGAAGCGTACTCGCGCAATGCAGCGAGATACATCGTGATTTTAATATTTCATTTTATTTTTTAYCTCAGTCGATGTTATATATGGCTTTATGTGATTTTGAGAAAGTGATGATGTTTTTATTTTTAAATAAAATATATGTTTGAAGATATCATAAAAATTT